CGGGGGGGTGGGGGTGGGGGGGTAAAGTAATTCCTATTGTCATGGTGCGTTTATGCCGGATTTTTTTGACCTCTTTCAGACTGAGTTCTTTGTCATCAGTTCTGTCTGCTCTGGTTATTTATTTGTAAAGTAAAATTAAAAAAATGTTCAACTTCAGTTTTTTTCCTGCTGGAGTCTCTGCTGCACTGCAGGGGCACAGTGGACTGCAGTCACTGGAGGTTCGGATTAAAATGCTCATAAAAAAGTGACAGGTGAAAAAAAAAATGACCAAAAGTTAAGAGAAAAAAAACTCTAAATATTACTTTGACTTTTACTTAGCAAAGCATCAAAACTCTCACCGTAGTTTGAGAGTTTCAGGCGGCATCAGCTCCAGCGTGTGCGTTGGACCGTAGAGATTGACCACATAGAGCTTCACCACTGGGTTGGGCTGTCCAGCCTGTGGACACAGACGGAACCTTTAGACTCTGCAACTGTTCAATACTCAGAAAGGACCAGTGACTTGGACCAGTCCAACCAGGTCCTCAGTTCTTCATGATCATATGAGACTGATCAGAACACAGTTGTTCCATTGACCTCCTGGACTTCAAAACCTGATTTAGGTTCTAACAGACCATTCTTACTGTCTACATCACGTGTCAAACTCTAGGCCCGGGGGCCAAATACGGCCCGCCAAATCATTTTGTGTGGCCTTAAAAACTCTGGGTTGGGGACCCCAGTCTTCCCCTTCAAGAGGAACTGGTGAAAATGAGTTTGACAGCCATGGTCTACATGTCCCTGTGTCAGCATTTCTACATATTTCTACACCAACATTTTTTTTTTTTTTTTTTTGCTGAAACACAACTCGTAGACAAATATTCCCCTGATGGTTGATCTGTCTTCAGTAAAATGTTAGACTAGGACTCAACACTAATTCCTGTCCAGTTCTCCACAGAGCCAGAGTTTCACCAACATCACAGAACCCACGCTCTGGAAAGACCTGGACTTTGAACAGCCCTCAAAGGAAAGACTTTCCAGACGTGTTGTTTTCAGAGAAAAGTGCTGATTAAAGACGGGACTAGAATCAAATACAAATGGGAAACGTTAGCATTTAGTCAGCAGTTCATGTACAGGGCGGTGTGTCTGTGGTGGACGATGATGAAGCAGCTCTGATGATTCTCCTTCCTGCTCCAGCTGCAACAACAAAGTGTGGAGTATTTTTATCTCTGTGCTGTTTCTGCAGAATAAAGAACTTCAGACACAAAGAACCTTCTGTGTTGTTCTCAAACCAGCAGCTCCACTGTAGGAAATAGGAATTGTATCTGGAGGGTCACAGGTTCGAATCCACCTGCCCCCATTATTACTCATTTCTGTTATATACATTGGGGTTGTTAGGCTTGGTAATACCCTACCTTGGGGTATGGATACTGTTTCCCTTTGGGGTACGGCACGCCAGTGAAGCGGGGTAGGACCATGTTGGGAACCTGAGTGTCATTGAGGACCAGGAAGGCCAGTCTTTCTCCATCCGGTGACCACCAGTGTGCCACATGGCTGTGAAGGACCTCCTCTGATTGGAGGAACACAAATAAGGAGCAACGTCAACTCCTGCTGTGGCAACAGTAGCAGGATGTACCTGGTCTTCAATTCATTAAGAATATATATATATAGTATATACATATATGTATATATATACACATGTAAGCTGAGAGACAATGAGTCAGACGTCTGTTCTCCTGCTGATTAAACTGTGAAGCTGTCGGAGTCACTGTCACAGAAAATATAGCTGCAGGAAGAGATATCTGGAAAAGAGATTTTATTCACCTAACAGGCGGAACAAACAGTCGGTACCAGTGACGAAGGGACTAAAAATACCTCTGAATATTGGTGTCTAGATGAACACGTGTGAATTTTAAATCAGCCCTAACCTGATGTTGAGATGGAACAGTGTTGTGTTGCCAACTATGATGACCGTTTGACTACATTTACATTGTTTAAACAATCATTATACGAGTATAAAACTCAATACTGTCATGCCTATAGTATCACAGTTTATCGCAATACATCGTACCGTTGCCCTGTATTGCAATACGTATCGTACCTCCAGATTCTTGCCAAAACAAAAATCTGGTGTTAAACTGACCTCACGGTTTAATGAAGCGGACAGAAAAAAAAAAAAAAAAAATCGACATCATGACATCCTGATCAGACGTCAGCTCCAAAGGAAATAAAAAAAAAACATTGGTATTTCATTTCTATAAGATTAAGTAGATTTGCATAACTTGTGTAATCCCCTGGGGGCAGTACTCCCGTGATGAAGTGTTTTCACTGCCCCAGTACTAGCATGAATATTTAATCAGTGTCTTTTAAACACCGGCTTTTTAATCTTCAGTCCACGCAGATTAATCTGCACCGAGTCTCAGCGGGGTCAAAAATCTTCATCTGTTGGAACACAGTTAACTACAGACAGCCCCCCCCCATCCACCCCCCCACCCTCCTCTGTGTACCTTCATACAGCCAGTCGGCGATTCCATTGAAGATGACCCCCTCCCTCCCCGAGGACGTGAGTCTGAGAGAGTTAGTCTTCACGTCAGACTGGTAGTAGATGTTGTTTTCAAATATGTAGATCTGTGGGGAGACACAACACACAGGTCAGAGGTCAGGGGTCATCGACTGTGATGTCCTCAGATCAGTGCTTCAAGGTAACAGGTCTGTGTGTATGAGGTGGGGGCTCTGACAGACCGTCACAGCGCCCCCTACTTACTGTATATTTACATTTACAGCAAGTAGGTATTAAAAACTAGATGGAACCGATTTATTATAAAAGACTATTTTATACAGTTTATACAGCAGGGGGTGCAGGAGGTGGGGGGGGGGGGGGCCCGGAAAAGTCCACAACAGCAAACGTCATCCCCCCCTTAGCCCTCCCCCAAAATAAACCCCCTCTGTGCCTTTCCTATTTCATGTTTTATTCACCTTCTCTAAACAGTTCTGCCTCGTTCTTCACACCGGCCTCAAACGTTCCCCTGGTACCGTACACCAGTACCTGAGTACTGCTGACACATCAGGGTAATCACCGTGATACTCTGAACTCACCAGCTGTTGGCCCTGAACTCCCCAGGCGGCGTACTGCAGCACCGAGTTCACCACCTCGGGGGGGTCCAGCTCCCGCACCTCCCTGAAGAAAGAGGAGACAAACAGTTCCATTGTTGTCCTGATGTGGTACAGCGCTGCTGGTCATGTGACCTCAGAACTGTTCACAGGAACAGCTGAGTGTCGGAGGAACCCAGTCACTGATTTCACTGTCTTCTACTGGTGACTGTGACCCCCCCCCACGTCCCCCCACCTGACCTGTGGTGAAGTCTGTGTCTCACTCACCGAGTGTGAATATTGTAGATACTGTACGCAGCCATGTAAGAGTGACGGAAAACCTGGGTCAAAATCAAAGATGGCGAGAGAGGAGATTAACAGATACTGACGTCAAAACATCATCATCATCATCATCATCTGTGTGGACTACAGCTGCAGGAGGAAACATCTAGTTCCATCTCAGGGACTCTACTTTGTCAAGTGTCCCTGCAGCTGGAGGCAGCTGAGCGTATTCCCAGTGGAGGGGTTTGGGGGGGGTATGTGTCAGTAACGGAGCAGGAACGTCCCAGAAAAAGAAGGAAACTTCAACTAGAATAAGTTCATAAGTTGTTAGTTAGTTCAACGGTTAAATCTCATTTCTGAGTTTTGTCATCGGTGTCTATTTGAGCTGACACCTGGAAGAACAGGTCTAAGAACTGTCATTAGAACTGTCATCAGAACTGTTCCACGAGCTGAAGATGAAAAGAGAGCAAATATCTGAACCTTCCTGAAAACCCGTGAATGCCTCCAGATTAATTGCCCTGTCAGAGTAATCCCAGCTGTTTAAATATTTCATTTTGAAACTTTTCTTTCCCAGGACGACAGACGGTAATTGAACCTTCATCCTGTCGCCTCCCTCAGTGCACGTGACCTGCCATGTGCACACTGTCCGCACAGACATTTCAATGACACCTGGGAATGTCAGTCTAAAATAGAATAAAGTAGTCACCCCCCCCACCCCACCTTCTCCCCCATTATTTGAAAAAAAACCTTTACTTTTGTTGGTTGACTGATACTTTAATATTTACTTTAAGTACAAAAAAAAGAAAAACTCTAAAAAAGGGGTAAGGTTGTAGGGGGGTAATTAATGTATACACCTGCCTAAAACTTTTGCTACACGTCCTTATAAAGATAAGAACAAACACACACACACACACACACACACTTGATCTCACCTGTTTGACGTCATAAGCAAAGAGAACGTACTTCAGGTCCGGGGAGACGGAGAACTTCACCACGTTAAAATTGATCTGAGAAAAAAAACAACACAGAACTTTCTTTTATCTCCATCCAGGGCAGAGGTGAAGTGTACAGATACAGTGTCTGTGAACTTCATTTTACCCATAATTCCTCTTTAAAGCATACATGTTGGGGGGGGGGGCCCCCCCCCCACCCCCCACAGGTCTACAAACCACTGTATGAGTTACTGGCTCCAGCATTCTGCATACAAGCCCCTGATTAGTAGAATAGATTGATAAAATGAGCTGCAATGCTGCCATCTAGAGGCTTTCACTTTTACATAGAGCTGTTTTCCCCCAAACTAGTCCTAATGTTTACATTTATTAAATTTTCTGATCCCAGATTTTGTAACTGCGGTGAAGTTGTGACTGACAGAGAAACCTACAAATGTTGTGTTCGTCAGAAGGATCGCCGTTTCATTGGTGACGATGTTGAACTTGATCACATGACCATCACTGTTCCTGTAGATGACCTCAGAGTCTGTGGGCAGAAGACAAAACAGTCACAGAACTGCAGCACCGATGGAACCGAGTCAGGAACGGAAGAAAGAACAGAAAAGTTTAATATAATCAGCTGCTGTAACAGGAGCGGGAGTCAATCCCAGCAGTCACCAGGTGAGGGCAGGGTTACACCCCGGATAGTTCTCCAGTCGATCACTGGGTCAACGGCCATTCACACTAACATTCACGCTATGGGTCAACGGCCATTCACCCTAACATTCACGCTAACATTTACACCTATGTTCAGATTAGAGTGACTATTAAACTAACCCCACGTCTCCCAAAAGACCAGCAGGTGGAGCTGCACTGACTATCCTTCCATTAGTCCGTTTTCATGAGAACAGTCTCTAAGTCAGCTGAGACTCTGGACTGACTAAGGACTTGAGGGACCAGGACTTGGATCCTCTGGACTAAAAATATCTTCCTGTGATCTTTGAATCATTGATGTCGGACATCAATAATGGAACGTTCAGAGCAGAAGAAGAACAGACGGAGACCCGGGCATGTATAAGTCATGACCTACAGCAGTCACATGATCAACAATGAAAGGACCTGGACCTGGAAATGACTGCACAGCTCTGTATATTTTATATGTCCACATATGTGTCTGTGGGGGAGGCAGTGGGGATGGGGGGGTCTGCTCAGTCACCCAGCTCAGATGTTCAGAAGTCTAAACCTGTCACTGCAGGGTTTAAGAAGTCAATGTAAAAGTTTGTGCACGCTACTGTTTGTAAATCATGACTTGTCTTTAACTGTGCGCCCCCCCCCTCTTGTCCCCTCTCCTTTTCCCCATTACCTTCATCTAAAACATGTCAGCAACAAAAGCTAAAAGCTTTTCGTAACCTTATTTCCCTTGTTTCCGTGAAGAGAGGTGAAGGCTTTTCTATTTCAGGAAGGCAGCAGCAGCAGCATCAGCCTCAGCATCATCAGCCTCAGCCTCAACCTCAGCCTCAGCAGCATTAAAAGGGCCTCACAGGCTGCGTCTGCTGCTGCTCTGTTCCTGTACAGTCAGCAGTTCCGTCTGTAACCTGCACTTCCCCTGTGGCTCCAGCAGGGACACTGCCATTACCCCAAGGTTTCAGGACCAAGGTCAGCTCCAGTGGAGTCAGCTTCAATGAAAAACCAGCACAGCCGTAGGACTTGAAGAGGTGGTGATCAGGTTTGTGGAGCCCCTCCCCCACGCCCCCCCCAAGTTTCACATACAGTATATTCTAATATATTAAAGTATATATTTCCATCTGTGAGCTGTGGAGTTTTCTCTGTGATTGACAGCTGTGATGTCACAGCCGGGCAGATGCAGACGACCTGATCCAGGCCCTCATGGTTTAGAACTTCATCACGTCACATTAGCATCTCACTAGTGACTCCCCCCCCCCACCCCCCGCCCCCTGCTGTACTGATCCTTCAGTAGCGGCTCCACAGCCTGCTGTGTCTCTGATGTTAATTAATGGGAGGCAGTGATGTGTGCTAATCCTAATTAACCTGTGAAGATGTCGCTGCAAATGTGAAAAACAGATAAAAACTGATAAATACAGAAAAAAACCAGTTACTTCACTGATGCGTATGTTGTAAACGCTGATGTAGGCTCCTGGCAGCAGGTGGCGCCACGCCTCATCTTTCCCTGCTTCTCTGCCGCACCAGGCGGCACAGGAAAAAAGATTGATTGGCTCGATTATTTTGGCTGATTAATCAGGCAACGAGTCTGCTGCTGCGTTTGGAAATCAGACTGGTACTGTTTTTGTTCCGCCCTGATTCCGAGGAGCTGCGCGCTCATCGTGACCCCCCCACAGATCTGCAGCTGAAGGCTCTCCAGGGAAATGGCTAACTCAAGTCAGACTCCACTAAGAGCCGGTTCAGTTCATTCAGCTGCACGACATGAAGTTCCTGTTTTAGAACATTGAGGGCAGAAGAACGACGGTCCACAGAACCCTGACACACAAAGAGAGAGATGGAACGGTCCATGCCGAGGTAGGTGGTTCCTCCAGGGAGGAGATCATCTCAGTTTTCCGAGCAGATACAAATGACAGGGAATCTACAGACCAGCAGGGACGTTCAAGGACATGGTACTGATCAGAGATCTGGACCACTGTCACACCAATATAATAAATACTTATCAGCCTGCAAAAAAAAATCACCAACTGCCCCTGGCTGAAGAGGAGGTGTATATACTGTGTGTGTGTGTATATATATATATACATATATATATATATGTATATACACAGACTGTGTATGTGTATACACACACACATACACAGTCAGAGCCTGGACTGGCGTCAGTCTCTGAAAGACTGTTCTTTAACAGACTGAAGTCAGAACTCACCATTGATCCATTTGGCCTCTGGGTCGTTGACCTGGAAGTCAGACTTGAACAGATCCTCCACAGTCAGTTTGGTGTCACTTCCTGCCTGGTTGTCAGCTGTGAAAACATTCAGATGTATTTATGCTCAAATACATATAAATGTGTTTTGTATATTCTGTCAAATATTTGTTAGAATAATTTAAAAAAATATAGGCAAAAATAATCTTATTAAGTCATGACATTCAGCACCATGTGACAGAGAGAACCATGGGAGAACGTCTGTGGAGAAAGAAGAAAAACAGCAGTAGCGGCCAGGTCACCTGGGGTCAGGAGGATAACGGACATGGTGATGAGAGAGCAGACGGCCACGATGACCAGCAGGGCGATGGCGATGCCCTTCCAGTTCCTCTGTGGAGGACTGACTCCACCCAGGTCCTACAGAGACAAGCACAGTCACGGGTACACAGGTTACTGCAGTATCTCCATGTTTTAGTCAGACAGACTGTACAGTGACCCGGTACTGTTTACTTCATCACAGTACTGTATAAACAGTTCTAGACCTTGTGGCACTGAAACTGTATCTACTTATTCAGTTCCACTTATCCCCATAACATCAGTGTCCAGACCAGTGGTTCCCAAAGTGATAGGCAGCATCACAGGTCAAAATCTTCATAACATTTCCATCTTCTGCTCTTTACACCACACATCCACATATGCAACAATCACCAAAGGAAGTATTGACAGGAACAATCTGAAGGTCTTTAATTATGAATGCACCAACCGGACCAGCCACAGGGAGGGGCTGTTGATGTGACATCACAAATAACTCACATGATTCACAGCCCAGAGTTTGATCTTTTACTGTGGCTGTAAACTGCATCAGAGATCTTGGATGCTAAAGGCTATCTGGTCCATATGTGATGTGGTCTGTCGTCCTGGAAGTCCCTGGAGGTTTTTCCAGCATTACTTTTCCAGACTCCTGGGATTCAAGGCTGTTAACGCAGGTCTTCCTTCACATCTGCTGTCACTGATAAGGTGTATTAAACCTCCAACCCATAATTCTTTCCACCCTGCTCCACTTCTCTGCCTCAACAGCCCTACAGGTAAAATACACTGATCACTGGTCTCCGAGCCAATAACACCCCCTGATTAGTAGAAGGGCAGGAAGCAAACGACAGCCAATGAGAGCTGCTGAAGGAAGCGTCCTCCGAGGCTACGACGACTTCAACTTTAAATCACATTTATTACACATGTCTGTGATTTATAAATAGAACTGTGCACAAAGTTTCTAGTGTGTACTTCTGTGTACACAGTACATGTCTCTTCCAGTATGAAGTACAGCAGCTCAGACTAACACAGTTCAGAAAACTCCAGTTTATGAAGAAGATTCCTAATAGGATTACTAGGCAATTTACTAGGGGTGTAAGAAAATATGGATACACTGAAATATCGCAATATTTCATTTCTCAATACCATATCAGTATTCTACAGTAAATAAACAGTCAAATATTAATTGTTTTGATGCATTTAAACCTCAGAAGATTCTTGCCGATACACAGCCCTACAATTTACCAGACCAAGACTAGGACACACTGTACAATGAAAAAGTACCCCAGTACATCTGGTACTTCACTTCACTTCTGAAACCAGTGTTACATGCACCCTAGTTTGAGAACCACTGCACTAAATGAATGCCTTGTATATCTGCACACTTTTCAAATCCACATTCATCGGTTCTCTGGACTAATAGTCCTGATCTAATATCAGGACCGGGACCACTGCTCCTGTTATTTATAGAGCCAACGCTCCAGTGTCCTTGAAAATGGACAGCTACTTTAAATTGCCCCGGTGCCGCCGTGCATGACACACATCCACAGTCTCCTCCACAACGTCTCAGTTTCTTCTCCACAGTTCTACAAAGACAAACGTGAGGAACAATAAAAGACTGAAGATATTTTCACCAACTCCACCACTAATAAGATAGAGGCTCTGAAGTACAGGTGGTCTCCAGGAAGGTTTGGTCAGTGGCAGAGCCTTTTATATATGCGTGTGTGTGTGTGTCATTTAAAAAATATAATGGGATGTGGAGGCTCCAGAGTTTTAAAAGCTGTGGAACCACAAGTTCACAGAAAAAACAGATCGCATTTAAAAAGGCTTTACCAATCAGCTGAATGAGACGCCACAAAAATATGCCACGTCATCATAACTACTAATCCCTAAAACAGAGTGATGTCACTGATGACAATCCAAGAACCAACTGGTTCTTTCAGTTTTCTAACATTTAATTAAATATGAAAACTTTAACAGTTAAGATAAAAGATTTAAAAAAGGTAAAGATAAAAAAAACCAATTACACCCTGGTTCACTGGTGTTTTTTTACCCTTTCCTTTGGTTATTATTTATTTATTCAACCTCAGGAAGCCTCGTTTAATTGAACTGACACTGAGTGTAATTCTACCAGGCTCTCTCTGGGACAAATTCCATCACATTCAATCAATACAATCAATTATTCATCAAGTCCAGTCCAGTCCAACAGGGCCCAGAAAACACCAGGACACACTTACTGTTGAGTAAACACTGATGACAGCACCAACTACAGGTCAAATATAAGAGTTCATCTTTTTATTGATTTTCTTTTTTTAAAAATTCCCTAAAATCATCAACACTGAATATTTTAAACATTTTTATCTGTAAAAAACAAAAAGTATTTTAATTACAGAAAATACTATATGATACCTGTGTGATTAGGGACCAAACTGTTCTGAGTACTGTAAGACCCATCAGCCCAGCCATCCAACAGTCTACCATCCAACCACCCACCATCCAAATATCCAACCAACAAACCATCCTTATCGTGGTGGAGGGATGACTGTGCCACTGATCTGGACTACTATTAGAAAGTACAAATAAGAGATACTGCCTCTGTACCCTAAGCCTTTTTTCCTGTGGGTTTTTTTATTTATTTTTTTATTTCTAACCTGTTTAGTCCACTGAGGATAAATGTATTAAGTATGTATTCAAACTGACTTGACTAATGTAACATGTAACCTGGTAACGTTGACAGTCAAGTTGTCATTGTTTAACTAACAAAGCTACTCAATACTAATAACTAATTTAACTAACACTATATTACTAATAACAAATGCAGTCTTTTCTTACTCACGCAGACTCACCGGGTTTCTCCGATCAATCACTGAGCATCCGACTCCACTGATTCACCGGCGTCAGGACGGTTCTCCCCCCGGAGGGTTCAGAAGTTTCATTAAAGTATATTTCTAGTAAACATCCCTGGAGAAACGGGTCAATCATCTCCACTGAGTCGTACGGTGTTTATCTTGGTTAAATATGAGATCGTAGAATTACCATAAAACGTCACTGTACACCTGTTTTGATGCGCTAGAAGGCGGTGTCGTAAAACTGCCGTAAAACGTTACTGGCGCCTCAAAACAAGTCATAAAAATCTTATTTAATTAGTTTGTGTTTATTTTCTAAACCTTGAGTCAGTCATTAACAGTTCAAGAAATACTTTATATTTGAAATACAACATTAATATCAAATGTTTATTTCATCTAAGAAACCGCGGGTTCCCCCTCCGCCATTTTGTCACAAAGTTCAAAGCCTTTATATTCTATTAGTAATACCTTAAATCTTCGTAAACACACGGACATACCCGCATACACCGGGTTTAAACTGGAACTCCTACTTAACGTAACCATACATTAAAAAAAAGTAAATATAAACCTAATTTTAACTCAATAGCCGACGACGTTAGTGTAGCGGTTAGCACACCTGCATCGGAAACAGCGAATAGAGACTCCTCGGTTCGATTGCCCGAGAAACCACATACTTGGAATATATATATATATATGTATATGTATATATATAATGTAATTATTATTGCACCTTTTAATTTTCTGCATGTTACCAGCAGGCGGACAGAGATATTGCTGCATGTTACCAGCAGGCGGACAGAGAGTCGGTCCATCTGCCTGTCAGTGAATTGTGATCAGTATGATTGTCCTTCAGACGGGCTGTTGATTATCTGTCCAGGGGGCAGAAATCAATCCTTGTCTGTCCTCAGTTCTTAGACTAGAATGCTGAAAGTGCAGAAGAAGCTGGTTCTCCAGAAACACTCACTTCATCTCCGCTCAGCTGATGAACTGACAGGCCTGGCACGGCTGCCTGACAATATTGATGAGAACAATTTCCGTGGAATAAAACTATCTTTGCAGCTCATTGCTGGGAAATTAAAAAAAGAAAAGTCCCCGTGGCTTTTACAACATGCAATTTATTAACACATAAAAGTTAACAGTGTGTAATTAACTAATAAAGAAATGTGTGCCAACAGGTGGGCTTCCTCCATCTGTTCATACACATATTTATACTTGGTGCATAAATAATCGGTCCTAAATTATCCTCTGAACTTCATTGATAAAAATGACGAATGAAACTTCCTTCAAATACCTAAGCTGAAACATAGTGTACACCTGGTACTCTGTTCAAACCATGTTCAAATAGTCTACAGAATCTTCTCCTTTAAAATAATGTCAGTGGTTTGGTTAGAAGAGTGTCTCCAACCCCTGGGGCGTGGATCGACAACAGCACTGTGGGCTGTAAGGTACAGCGCAACAATAAATGAGATCATGTTTACATTTAATTGTTTTCCAGATTGGAACTGACTCAGAACAGTCAAAAAATAAAATGACCTTTGACCTACAACGACCTTTGTCAACGATGGGGTTTGTCTGTAAGAACAACAACAACGATCCGAAACGAACTTAAAAAAACACACACACTTCAAAAGATTCTGTAGCAGTGTTGTAGTACTAATGCAGTACTTTCACGTTCTTAGAATACCAGAGGTAAATGACAAATACAATCAAATACACAAACAAAAACATATTTGGTCGTGACGGTGACGAAGGACTAATATCAGAAGTCTAATATTGACAGAAGTCAACCTGTCTATGCCAAACACACTGGTTAACAACACTAGTTAACAACACTAGTTAACAACACTAGTTACACTCATGTGTTGTTACTGTCACCACATGTGATGCTGTAGTGGGAGAGTCTGCAGAGGCACGCAGAGGTAGAAGAACATGAATCTGTGTGACTGTCTCTGCTCATCTGTGGCTAATTTTGGCCCAGAGGCTTCAGAGTTAGTGGGTGATGGAGAGGCAGCGTGAGGCAGGGCTGGGGGCTGGGAGGTCCGGGGGGTGGGGGGTGACTTCTCTGATTCACACATTTGAATTGTGTTTCCAATTATGTTTGAAATAAATTTGAGACTATTTTAATTCATTTTCAGAGACATTGGTCCTGGTTTTCCCTTCTGGAAAATACTGCTGCTACTAGTTGTACTACTACTAGTATTAGTTATACTACAACTACTACTAATAATAATGTATAAGCACGTAAGGACTTCCAAGCATCTC